GACCGTGGTCGTCTTTCCTCTCGCCAAGAGCTACACGTTCTGGCTGGCGTGCCGGCTGTTCCTGAGCATGGAGGACCCGCGCAGCGTGGAGCGGTTTGCCGAGCCGTTTAATGCGCTGGCGTCGGGTCTCATCTCGGTGCCCGTGGACCTGCCCGGGATGCCGTTCAACCGGGCCATACGGGCCTCGAATTTCATTCGGAAGGAGCTCGTCTCGATTATCGGGCAGAGGAAGACGGATTTGGCCGAGGGGAAGGCATCCGCCACGCAGGACATACTGTCACACATGCTGCTGACGTGCGACGAGAACGGGAAGTATATGACGGAGCTGGATGTGGCGGATAAGATCCTGGGCTTGTTGATTGGGGGCCACGACACGGCCAGCTCGGCCTGTGCCTTCGTCGTCAAGTATCTGGCGGAGCTGCCGGAAGTTTATCAAGGGGTTTACAGAGGTAATTAACGTCCACAAACAGAGTTTACTTTTACCTTTTATTATTATTATTGTTTAGAATTAAATCCTTATTACTCTGGGCTGCTACGTTAGGTAGAGCTTTTAGTCAGGAACTAAGCTATTAAGAGAATGCAACTCAGTTTTGTTCTTCGTAAAACTCGAGTTCGATTTAAATGAGTCGAGTCAAGTTTTTTAATTTATTAAAGTCGAATACATCGTATTCAACTCAATTTGGCTCGAACAATGCTACTAATGCGATGTATAAAATAAGCTAGAGCGTGAAAATGTTTTATTAAGTATGTAGTGTAAATTTATCATAAGTTAAATTAATATAATATGGGCTAAAATATTTTTTATCACTGTATATTTTTATTTAGAGGGAAATACTACAGTCTCGTTACGAAACCATTCTGTCGGGATTTGTAACCGTTAGATCATCATGTGAACGTCATAGTCATAGATAATTGATCTAACGGTTACAAATCCCGACAGACTTATTTGGCCTTGAATTTTGTGGCATGTAAATGCATGGATGAATTCCAAATTAGTGCATGGGTAACATGTGGTGACTTAAGTAATAATGATGGGTGCACATGACTGTTATATGTCAACGTTCGTGGGCTCTAACGTCGTACCTGGTTGGTGGCTTATTACTCATTAGTATACTCATTCGTTATAATTTTTATTATTGTTACAAAATTAAAAATTTAATTCATTTATTTTATACATATAATATGAATGTTAAATCGAACTTCGTCGAGCAGTTAATTTGAGATATTATATATGTAAAACTTATAAGAAAATACAAAAGTTATTAAATTTTAAAATATATTAATTTACAATTAAATTGTTATAATTAAAAATAAAATTCAATTAATACATGCAACATGACTATATTTATGGATTTTCTGGACCTAATCATTTTTTTAAATTGAAAGTAAATTAAAATCTGTTGAATCCAAACAATAAATTATTAATCATATCGCATTTTTTTGATAAAATAAAATGCCATTCATTATAGTTTATGGCATTATTTTATATAGAGATTACTCCATTTATCATAAACTAATGTATTTCTTCAATTGATTTGTTAAATTCTTTATTCAAAAAATCAAAAATAATTTCTTGCCATCTACTTGGATTTTATTAAGAATAAAAAATTGCAATATTATTGAATATTTATATGAGCAAGTAAGACTAAATAGTATTTTTGAAAATCAACACGTAACTGATATATTTCATGTAAAAATATAAATAATATAAATCAATAATATCTCCATTTGAAGTCGCCAATGTAAATTCTATTTGACCAAACAATAAAATTGCAAGTTTACGAATTAGAATAAGATCATGCACATATATATAATTTGTTAGTTTATCTAAAATAAAAATAAATTTACCATAAGATGAAAAAAAATAATATAGACTAAAATATTTTTATTACTACAACACACAAAAAGCCTGGAATTTTTGTGGTTAGTCAAGTAACAATGATGGGTCCACATGACTGTTGATATGTCAACATTAGTGTGCTCTAACATCGTACTTGGGTGGTGGCTTCTGGCTCCCTAGTCATATTTTACATGCTGGAAACATTAATTAAACATCGGAATATGCTACGATCTCGTCATCGAATTATTTCGTCGGGGTTTGTAACTATCGAGAATAGTTGATCTAACGGTTACAAACTCTGACGGAATGATTCCGTAACGACATCGTAACATCTTCCTAAACCATTCATGTTAATATAAATATAATAATATTTGTTTAAAATAGGATGTCTGGCTTTAATTGGAATCAAATAATGTATTAGAACTGTATCCTCAAATTCAATCGTGCGAACTAAATGGAGCATGAAAATAAAAGGCTATATAATCTCGCATGCATTATATTTTTTATTAAATAAATATTTTGTAATTACAAAATTAATTTAATTTCTATTTTGCAAGATATAATGTAATTACAAAATTAATTTAATTTCTATTTTGCAAGATATAATGCACGCGAGATTAATTTATTTCGCATGCATTATATTTTTGGATGTCCGACTTTATTGCTAGTCGATCGATAGTTGATGACCCGAAACTTTTAAGGCCGCCCTTGTGGTCCTACCCGGCTCGATTCTGGATTAGTCGGTTCTCATGTGGATCCGAAAACCAGAAAGTCCCTGTACCCAAAAAAAAAAAAATTCGACTATCGCATATTGTCCATGTGTTTGAAATATTTTTTAAGTACACCCGTATAGCTTTGACCTACCGAATTGACCTTCACAATAATTTTTTATTGTTTTATATTTCTTAATTATTATAATTGTCTAAAAAAAAAATTATTTGTGGACATTTTAGCTTTTGTATAAATATATTTATGAAAACACATAAAAAGTATTAGTTTTGACTATAAATTATTATCTTAGTTTTAATACATTTATAAAAATATAATTATATATTACTGGCATCAAATCCATCCTAAACAAAATGAAGTGTGAAAATTCTTGTGTATGAGGGTACTGTTCCTAGTCATGGCCACGGGCCAACCCTGTCCGACAGGTCAACCCAGAGCGGGCGAGAACACGCCCGTGATCAACGGGCTTGAACCGAGCCCGTGGTTTGACTGGGCCGGTTCCGGGCCACGAATTTTTTATTTTTGAACTGTCGGGCCGTCAGAACCGGCCCGGCCCTATGGCTTTATATTTTTCTTTATTTTTAAATTATTTTTTATTGAACCGGCCCGAAACCGCCTGTGTTTATTTATTGTGTTCCTAATAAATAATGTGTGCAGAGCAAATGGAAATTGCAAATTCAAAGAAGGCTGGTGAGGTGTTGAATTGGGATGACATTCAGAAGATGAAATACTCATGGAATGTGGCTTGTGAAGTGCTGAGGCTGGCGCCACCTCTCCAGGGCGCTTTTAGAGAAGCCCTCACTGATTTCATGTTCAATGGGTTCTCCATCCCCAAGGGCTGGAAGGTAATTTCACTCACCATTACTTATTCCGTCCGGGGCTTTTAACCGTAGATTATCTATTCCTACACTAATGGTTCCGTAACGAGACTGTAGTATTTTCCTAACACATTTCATTGTGAACTAATCTGTATGACTTGACTTATATGATATGGTGCAGATATATTGGAGCGCGAATTCCACGCACAGGAACCCAGAATGCTTTCCGGATCCGTTAAAGTTCGATCCATCGAGATTCGAAGGGTCGGGTCCCGCTCCATACACATTTGTCCCGTTTGGAGGAGGCCCGAGAATGTGCCCTGGGAAAGAGTACGCGAGGTTGGAGATCCTGGTGTTCATGCACCATCTTGTGAAGAGGTTCAGGTGGGAAAAAATCATACCCGACGAGAAGATCGTTGTGAATCCAATGCCGATACCTGCTAAGGGCTTGCCCGTTCGCCTCTACCCTCACAACAAAGCTTAATCAAAAAACCTCGCGCGTGATTCATCAATAAATAAATAGTTATATACATTCTTCTTTAGGTCTCTCATACATTTTGCAACATCTTGTAATATTTCCATTATATTTAATTAATCCTTTTGTTTTTCTTCTTTGTCTCTACAGTTTACAATGTACTCTGGATGATCAGATGAATTGCTGTTGTTTGATCTTTGTATTTATGAAATGTATAATAAATATGTTTGTTGTGGGAATTATGCATGCACTGAAAAACTTTTAATCCCTTGCGGCGAAGCTATCTTTAAGCTAAACTGTATAATAAATTTAATTTTGGCAATGGATATCAATATATCAACTAATTATACGATAAGCTTCGGTCAAATCTCCCATCACTTTTAGATTTCTCGTGCGCCCAACTTTTTGGGCTGTTGACCTATTGCACTAGAAGCGGCGGTAGCTGTGTTTGGAAGAAGAACCATTTGCTATCAACCCATTTTTTAATGTAAAAAATAGGGTTCTGTTAGGAACTTCATCGATGCACATCTGAATCTAACGAATTAAATCGTAGCGCAAACGAAATCTATACTTAGGATCAGGACTTATGTTTTAAAAGTTTTTGCCGACTCTGAGACGTTTATGATTTCCGCTATTGGAGATCGTCTGAAACTCAGAGTCTGTTGGGCAGCCGGACTATCTTTGGGATTGCCGATTCGGGCCTCGGGATCACCTGGTCGCTCTTGGTTTGGGTGTGGTTGTGTCACTTGCACTGCGTGCGTAGTGTGTCGGCCTCATGCGGGATGCGCCGAAACCGGGCGTCGCACATCGGGTGCTGCAAGCGAGCGTCGCGCGTCGGGTGCTTGTCTGCGGTCGCCGCGCATCGAGCGCTGGTGGCAAGAATCGCGCGTCGGGCGCTGAGCTCAGGCGATGCGCGCCGTGCACTGCTGAGAACTTCGCGAGTCTGTGCGGTATACAGCAGGGGCGGAGCCACCCCAAAGGCTGGGGTGGGCTCCAGCCCAGGCTAGTTTTGTGAAAGCCATATATACTTATATATAGAAAGCCCACATTTTGTTAATTTAGCCCATTTTTTGTTATAATTCAGCCCAATAAAAAGACAACTTTATTTTTTCAAAAGCTTTTCGTCCTTTAGCATTTTTTTTTTTTTTTTTTCTAAAGAAAAGAGAAACTAAAAACAGCTAACAACTTTACTAATTGGAGTATTGAACAGATTTTTTTATTCCACTCCTCACATTAGTCCTTTTTATGTCTAATTATGAAAAGACTACATTGTTCATTAAATAAAATGTTATTTCTTGCGTATATTTCTTTATATACATATTTATTTTAATTGGCTTAAAAAAATATACTTATAATTTATGACTTACACTTAGTTTCACTATTTAATTTATTTGCACCAATATTTAAGGTTTATCAAAAGTTTGTTTAATGAATATTTAAGCATATTTGCTTGGATATGAATTTTTCATGCTTTGTTTAATTTTTTTGATTTGGTATGGTTAATTTTAAAAATAATGGTACGGTTAGGTGTTAGTAAAATTTATTAAAATGATGAAAGCTGAGTAGATAAAAAAGTAGGAGAAATATGATATGACGTTATAGTTAGTTAAAATTATGTGAGTGAATAAATAGTGAATTAAAATTGATATGATGTGTAAAAATGATTGAGTGGTATTATTTATGTGTATTGATAATATTGAGGATATATCCAAACATCCTTTTAGCATTCGGTTTAGTTTGTACAGTCAATTATAATATAGAAAGATGAGAAGAGAGTTAGTAATGAAAATGATGCGCTTTTTCTATTCATTTTTAGCTTTTATCATTATGCATACCTTATAAGATATTAGACAATAGCTTTTATCATTATGCATACCTTATAAGATATTAGACAAGTTATATTAATTAATATGTTCAAGTAAAAATATTATGAAAATTTAATGCATAAGAAACCTATTGTGTTAATATTGATAGGATGGTTATTATATTTATTGTATAACTAATGTGTAATTGATACAAAATAACTTTAGATCATTTTTACTATTTTAAAAATTAAATTCAAAATTTTTGTAAAGAAATTATGGGCGACTAGACAATGCAGTCAATATGGACGTAACTAACTTCGGAACTGCTTAGTCCATTAGGCGCCGCCTATTCCATTTAGACGTTGTTTAATCTTCTAAGTGCATATAATGAATAATGATCGTCTAGGAAAAAATCGTGACACCCAAATAGGCGCAAAAGGTGTCTAAACACATTTTTATAACACTTTAAAACATGAAGCAATTGTATTTCAATCAAAATTTAATTTCTATTTTTTTTCCTTTTTAATATTGAATTATGTAAGTTACATGTTTGGTGAAAACTCAGCCTAGTGTATTTTTTTTTTCATGGCTACGCCCCTGGTCTACAGGGTCTGCCAAACAGCTCGCGGGTCAACACGGCCGCACAGGTCTCGCCGGGGTTCTCGCGTGTCTGCAGGTTGTCTGCGGTCAAGCTCGCTGGGAGCGTTATTGACATGCGTCATATTTACGTGCATTTTATAGTGATTTTTCTGTCCGTTTCGTCGTAGTTTGTTATATAATTAGTTATTATTTAATTAATTACTATTAATAAATTAATTACATAATTAATTTTATTAAGCTATGACGAGGTGTTTTATTTTGAGTTTTGACAGAAAATAGGTTCGAAATAATTATCAGAGGTGGAAACGACGATAAACGGTCGAAGACATTGTGCGAGTAGTGCATATGAATTGCTCCATGTACAATCAGCCCTTTTGTTCAGGCTTGCTGGGCCCAAATTCCAGCCACTAAAACCCATAGGCTAAAAGACATAATTAACCACCTAATAAAACACATTTACAAAAAAATAACTGATTTTTGATAATTCCAAAATTACTCCATTCATTCCAAAACGTGTCAATAATAATATTATGAGAAGTTAAAAAACAAATAATTAAAAGATTAAACTCATAACTTTGTTAGGTTAAATAAGAATAAAAATTAAAAAAAAGAAAAAAAAAATTTGGGATGTAGAATTAGAATGAAAATGAAGAGAAATTAGGGAAGGGGTGGAGCTTTGTATCTGAGAGAGAGAGAAAAAGAAAAATTAAAGAAGAAGGAGAGGATAAAGATTTAAAAAAAAAAACCGAACACTATTTGAATTTTTTTTAAGAAAATAACTTTTAAAAAATATATAATGGTAATAAAATGGAGTAAAAATGGAATACTCCATCCGGTGTATTAATTGAGTAAAACATATTTTCAAAGAGATAAGCAGCGTCATTAATTCTCATTAATTCA